ACATACACATGACAGACACACACACACACACACCAGACACATACAGATAAGTTGTGGTGGGAGAGCAAGGTGGTCTACGCCTATGATCCCAATGCTTAGGAGACAGAACAGTCAAACCAGGACTTGAGGGCTGACCTGAGCTACATAGGGAGCTTGGGACCAGCCTGGGCTACATGAGACTGGGTCTCAAAATAAGCAAATGAGGAGGGGGCGCTGGAGAGACGGCTCAGCACTCACAAGCACTGGCTGCTCTCCCTGAGGACCCCGGTTCAGTTCCCAGCACTCACACCAGGTGGCTCACAACCACCTGTGACTCCAGCTCCAGGGTCCAAAGCGTGACATTCGCAGACGTCGACATCCCAAGCACATACAAACACATGCAAACACCAACACCTACACATATCAAAAATAATAAAAATATTTAAAGTAACTAAGTTAGGGGTCTGGGGAGACGGCCTTGTTGGTAAAGTCCTTACCAGGGAAGTCTGAGGACCTGAGTTCAGATCCCCAGTAAAAGCTAGGTGTGGCCACAGTGTGTAAACACAGCCCTCAGGAGGCAGAGGCACGCAGATCCCCAGAGCTCAACCGATGATCTAGCTGACCCAGTGATCTCCAGGTTTAGTGAGACACCCTGTCTCAAAAAAAATAAGATGGAGAGCGGCTGAGGAGTACACCTAACATGAACCTCTGTCCTCTACATGAACATGCACACACATGAATGCACACATGCACGCACACACATGAACCTCTACATATACCACACGCACATTAAATAAGTAAAAATAAAGTTTGCTTCCTATGCAATAAGGAGCCGGTCAGTCAGGTGAAGGTGGAGACGGTCCCAGTGATTCTGGGAAACAGGAGACAGCACAGAATTGCTCAGGAAAACCGGAGTTTTAGAGAAATCGGGTGTTTGCCGGGCAGTTTTCTGGGGCCCGGGGGGTTAATGATTTTTTAAGCTGAGACCAGACAGCAAGTCCAAACGTTTTCCTGAAGCCAGGTCTAGCTCTCAGGTAGCAGGCCTGAGGGAGGGAGCGAAAACTGTACTTAAGCCGGGCCGTGCTCGGCCAAGGAGCAGATCAAAGCCAGAGAAAGGCGGGCAGGACCTGAGAGCGCGGAAGGCACGGGTTATAATCATCGCCCTCGGAATTCGAGCTGGGCTGCAGAGGGAGAGTAGAGCATCTGCGACATCGTGGAAAGGTCATCTTGTTTGTGCAAGGTATGAGGAATGCCCAGAGGGAAGAGAACAGGGAAGAAAACTGGAGCAGGGCTGGAGAGGCGGCTCAGTGGTAAGGACCATGTACAGCTCTTCCAGAGGACGGCAGTGGACCAGTCTCTGTGTCAGCCACCTGGAACTCCAGCTCCTCCAGCTCTGGCCTCTGTGGGCACCCGGGCACCCGCACATACACGCACATACCACACACACATAATTCCATCTTTGCTTTAAAAAAAAAAAAAAAAAAAAGGTTTATTATCTATACTGTGTTTGCTCTGCATATATGCCTGCCGGCCAGAAGAGGGCACCAGATCTCATTACAGGTGGTTGTGAGCCACCATGTGGTTGCTGGGAATTAAACCCAGGACCTCTGGAAGAGCAGCCAGTGCTCTTAACCGCTAAGCCATCTCTCCATCGCTTTTCACAGTGATTGTATTGTGATAGGTGCCCACAGATTTTTGATCTGCTATCTCCCTTCACCCAACAGTATCTTTTGCCTCAAAGTCAGTTTTGGTTTATGTTTCTTTTG